ACGGGAAATGTCACGTGGTATGACAAAACCAAATTCGTTCGTTTACCGTGGAACTATTATCCCTTCGTCAATACGATCCGATCAATTACGAGATATGGAATTGTGTCAATCTCGATCATCGATCATATCTTTCATTCCACTATTAAGTCAATATAAATCGAAAACTCCTTTTCGACTTATGAGTACACCTTGGCCAAGGATTTCATTATCGACTTAATTGAATGAAACGCAGATAATAATCTCCTACTATCTAAGAGTGACGAATCCTTTATTGATCAATCACAACCTTCATACGATTCTTGACGTACCCGAACGATGTCGTATTAGCGGCCCTTTTCAGAGCAACATCCAACACCGCCAAAGTATGACTGTCCTCATATAGGGTACTATGACGACCTCAAGTCAAAGGATTAATCCCACTACCGAACGTTAGAGATTAGCCACTGACACTCAGATAGTTATCCATGTGGAATCTCTTAGCGGGTCTCCAATGTTTTGTTCTACAACAAAACATCCACATGTTCATTTAAGTGTCACCACACTTTAGCTCGTGAGATCAGCTACTTACTTCACAAGTAAGAAATGCCACACGTGATGGTCTAACTGTATTAACGATATCCGTATCTCGTTATTACTTACGACCATGGTTTATTCAAGATCCAATTATATGTAATTTGTATCTCACAATCACAACTCCTTGTGATTAACAGATTACCTAAAAATTGGGTCTTCGGATTCTATTATTTAATATTATTTATCACAAAATCAATTTAAATAAATAATAGATCTCGCCAAAATCAAATGCATTAAATATATTAAAAGCGTTTACAACCTAAATCGATTGGATCTAGGGCATAACACTTACAATTTCATCATGATAAAGATATTGGAGAGCACTCATCTATGTTATTTCATCATATGACTCACATTTCTTCCTTGTTTGTGTGATGATTGCTAATTCTTAATTACGCAAACATTACAACATCTTCTTATTAATCCAATATGCCATAGGAGTAACACATTTTTCTCGACACAAAAGTTGAGGTTGCACACTGTGGTGTGAATTAGGGTGTATTAGAGCATGCGGCACATAAAAAAATAATTACTTCATCAACCAGATATGAGCATGGGTGGTCTCTTCACTCAGGGATTTGATTTATTTTGAGATGGATGTTTCAACATATTACATTCATAACAGAAGATTTTAAAATTGAGATTACTTTATTGTTCGTACTGTGGCATCATAAAAATTGTGAACTTCAAGGATCGAAAATGGCTCTTGCAGATTCTCCTCCTAATTTTTCTTTTTTAAAGTTACATTAAATTTGCTATTTCTTACTGTTATTTTTGTGTTTTCTGCAGTATTATATTGATCCATCAAATAAACTCAAATTTAAGTCCAAGCCAGAGGTTCTTCGATATCTCAAAAATGCTGGGCCTGGGACCAAAAGTGCTAAATCTGAGAAGCTGAAGAACGTTGACACCAGCAGCCAATCTGCTGTAAAAATTTATCAAAAGCACATCCTTTTACCTTTTCATATGTGTTGTTTACGCTTAGTAGTTAGAACAATTCCAAGTAGCAGGATGTAGATATGTCTTCCATTTTGATATTTCCAAATGTGGGACCCATATAAGAAGTGGTGGACCCACAGTAATCTAATAAATGGGTTTATATCTTGACATTTTTCTTTCTACACGGTTTTCTGTATCAAAAAGAAAATAAAATTGTTGGAAACATTGTAGATTGATATCAAGAAGACTGTAGCAGAAAATTTGCCTCCAGGATGGATCAAGGAAATCAGAATCAAAAGAAATGGTTGCAAGACCAGGAGTGACCCGGTACTTAATTCCTTATGTTCTCATTCCAATTCTCTGTTCATTTTTTATTCTACATTTTCTCCAACCAAATTAAATTCTTTTCTGCATTGTAGATAATGTCATTCTTCTGCAAGTTTTGTTATTGCTCACCTTCGTTGCATAATTCATGCATGCCACTAAAACCTATTTTTCTTTTTCTTTTCTCCAGTTGCATATTTTCACAGAAAATATGAACAAATTTGGTTGGTCTGTGATTTCTGCAGTCGTACATAGATCCTGTTAGTGGACGTCATTTCCGCTCTATGCAAGAAGTTCTTCGCTACCTTGAAGCAAGAGATTCTGGAAAACCAAAGGACAAGGGCCCAATGTGTGTGGAGTCAGGAGATCATTCTGGATCTGTTAGTGTGCTTGCTGAGTGTTTCTATTTGCTTTCTTCCTCCCTCTGATCTTTTTAACCTGTTTTCTATATGAGTTTACTAATTTTCTGCTTAATAAAATGATTAGTTAACCTACCGCAAACTGTTTGGTAAATAATATTGATAAAAGAAATCATATGATAAGGGGGCTTGCAAACTGACTAGAGCTTTGACTATATAACAAATTACTTTAATTTCTTTCGTGTGTAATATGCATTTAAGGATCATCTCAACACTGAATGAATCAGGATAAAGTTTTTTCCCATTTTTGTTCATGAAATATGACTTATTTGTTGACTGAACTTTCTCATAACTTGGTACATTTGGGCTTTTTTTTTAGATCTTAATATGATCTAGTTGACTTTCAAGCATTTTTCTGATGTAAATTTTGTCATGTTAAGCATTTGGTTTTGTAAACACTTTTTTTGTGTTCACTGTTCATTTTAGTCATCTTCTGGAGCTAAACGACAGCAATTGGCTGACGAGAAAGAAGATAAATACGTGAAAGGAAACCGAAACTCAAAGCCAGGTGCGGAATATATTCTTGGATGCGATTCTACTAACATTCCGTTCTACTACAGCATGCTTCTGGTCCGTGTAACGCCCTGTGTCTGATTCCAGTACATGATGAGCATGTTTGCTACGTAATACTAGGCAGTATAATGGACAAGATTTTAGTGTTTTATCTCTTTATTAATAGTGTCCAATACTGTGTAGTCTGCCTAACCAAACAAGCCATATAAGTCTATATTTTCTCGAAAGGCCTTACAATGTGTTAAATATATTAATAGACATCCAACTTTATATTTAGTGTCACCATGATCACCCAATTTGATTTTATTTCACCATGGCCGTCCAACTTTATACTTAGTGTCACTATGGTCACCTAATTTGATTTTATTTCAATATGGCCACCCAATTTCATATAACATTTCACCATGCCACCCAACTTCTTTTCACCTCTTTTCACTAATTTTAAAAAGGGTAATATATATATAATAAATTAAAAAACGAAAAGAAGAATTTTTTTTTTTTTTTTTTTTTTTAAGCTCGAATTTTAGCAGCCACATTGAGTTTATTTTATGTTTTTAAGGGTGTTGAGTCAAAGAAAGGATTGCTTGGGATGGATGACAGAGCGTCTAGATGATCCCAAAAATAATCAGTTGGTGTTACCATATATAATGGCGAATATTTGGGAGAATGATTTGTTGCTAATTTTCAGGGAATTTATTTAGTTTCCTTTTAGATCAAATAACTGTAAATATATATACTATACACAACACAACGTAAAGGGCGGTTTTTTGGACAGAAATTCCACGCAATTTGTTCGGTCTTTTTGTCATGGTATCAGAGATAGGGTTCTAAGCTCTTACCTGTTGTGAATCTCGCTTCGTTAGGTGTATTCGATCATCGTCGATGCCTCTCCGGGAGTTCTCCGTTTCGGGTGTTGGGCGTGTGGGTTTGGTCGCCCGTCTGCGTACTTCAGGTTCGACGTCTTCTGCGTCTTCTCCGTGCGTCTTCTGCGGTTATCTTCTCCGTCTTCTGCGTGTTGGACATGTTGGGCGATTCGTCTGTGGCTCACTTATTTTATTTCAGTTTCAGCACGTGGTTTATTCTTTTTTTTGGTCTGGGTTCTTCATTTGGTTGAATATTTTATTCATCATGTCATTTGATAAGTTGGACTCATTTATTATCCGCTTCAATGGAAAAAATTATTCGGCTTGGGAATTCCAATTCCAATTATTTGTGAAAGGAAAAGAGTTGTGGGGACATCTTGATGGTAGTGATCCCGCTCCTAAAGATGTTGAGGCTTTGTCGAAGTGGGAAATTAAGGATGCTCAAGTTATGACTTGGATCCTTAGTTCAGTCGAGCCACGCCTTATTCTCAATCTGAGACCTTACAAAACTGCTGCTACTATGTGGGATTACATTAGTAAGGTTTACAAACAAGACAACACGGCTCAACGATTTCAATTGGAGTATGAGATGGCTAATTTTACACAAGGAAGTCTTTCGATTGAAGAATACTTTTCAGGTTTTCAAAATCTTTGGACTGAATATTCAGATAGAGTTTATGCTAATGTTCCTGCGGCAGCCCTATCTATTGTTCAAACAGTGCATGAGACAAGCAAGAGGGATCAATTCTTGATGAAGCTACGTCCCGAATTTGAGGGTGCACGGTCCAATCTAATGAATCGTCAACCTGTACCATCTCTAGATACTTGTTTGGATGAACTTCTTCGTGAGGAGCAACGTCTAGTTACTCAAGCTGCCATGGAGCATAGGGATACTATCAGTGCTCCTATGGCTTATGCAGCACAAGGAAGGAATAAGGGTCGTGACATGCGTGCTGTCCAGTGCTATAATTGTAAAGCCTTTGGTCACATTTCTCGGGATTGTCCTAAGAAATACTATAACTACTGCAAGAAACAAGGTCATCACATCTCCGTTTGTCCCATTCGGCCAGAAAAGAGGCATACTACTGCCTATCATGCCTCCACTAGTGCCTCTAGCTCTGTAGCATTGCCTACTGCTTCGCACGTTGTTCCAAATCCTGCTTCTGCATCCACCCTCACCCCTCAAATGGTACAACAGATGATCACTTCTGCTTTCTCTGCTTTTGGACTATCAGGTACTCATAAAACTTCGTCTAAACCATGGTTCTTCGACTCTAGAGCTTCTAATCATATGACCAACACTGTTATTCCGCTTTCCAATGTGAAAGAATACGATGGGAATCTAAAAATTCATACTGCTAATGGTAGTTCACTACCTATCAAAGCTATTGGTGATCTTTCAGAGTCTTTAACTAATGTTTTTGTGTCTCCCAATCTTTCTACAAGTTTAATTTCGGTTGGTCAATTAGTTGATAGTAATTATAATGTTCATTTCTCTCGTTCTAGTTGTGTTGTGCAGGATCCGGTGTCGGGGAAGATGATCGCGAAGGGGCCTAAAGTGGGATGACTCTTTCCCTTGCATAGTTCCCCTTTTCCTAGTTCTCCTTTACTTTCATTTGCATGTAATACCATTAGTACTGATAATAAATTGTGGCACAAACGTTTAGGCCACCCAAACTCAGATGTACTTCGCACTTTATTTAATTCTAATTTATTGGGTAATAAAATATGTTCGTCTGAACTTTCATTTGATTGCACTGCATGTAAACTTGGCAAAAGTAAAACTCTACCTTTTCTATCTCATGGATCTCGTGCCTCACAATGTTTTGATATTATTCATAGTGATGTTTGGGGGATTTCACCTATTATTTCTCATGCACGTTATAAGTACTTTGTTACATTTATTGATGACTTCAGTCGTTTTACTTGGGTTTATTTTTTAAGAGCCAAATCAGAAGTCTTTTCAGTCTTTAAGCGTTTCTTTGCTCTTGTTGAGACTCAATTTTTTAGCCTCATTAAGATCTTGCGATTTGATTGTGGGGGGGAATATATGTCTAATGAGTTTCAGAACTTTCTACAAAGTAAGGGTATCATTTCTCAGCATTCTTGTCCTTCGACACCACAGCAAAACGGTGTTGCTGAAAGAAAGAATCGTCACCTCCTGGATATGGTAAGAACACTCTTACTTGAATCATCGGTACCGTCTCAATTCTGGTGAGAAGCACTTTCCACTTCGGTTCATTTAATTAATTGTTTACCATCCCCTATTTTAAATCATGTTTCTCCATTCTTTAAACTGTTTGGATATTCACCTTCCTATTCTGATCTGTGTACATTTGGTTGTGTTTGTTTTGTACATCTTCCTGCTCATGAGCGACATAAACTTACTGCTCAGTCTGTTAAATGTGCTTTCCTTGGTTATGCTCTCTCTCAAAAAGGTTATATTTGCTATGATTTTCATGCTCAGCGATCCGCATTTCTAGGAATGTGGTTTTCTTTGAAAACCAATTTTTTTCCGTCTCATTCCGAGCTACCTCCTACATCTTCATCTATCCTGCCTAGCTTCTCTAATTCCCCAGATGTTATAGCACGATTTAAGCTGGGACTTGTGTATGAACAACGTAATTGTGGGTCTGATCCTCCTGCTGATGTGCCCCCTCCTGATCGCGAACCGGCACCTGATCCTCCTACGGTTCCCATCTGTCTTCGTCGGTCTACTCGTCATTCTCGCCCACCCGATCGATACAGTTTCTCATCTCCTGTTTCTCTTGTAGCTACTTTATCTGCTATTTCCATTCCCACTTGTTACAAACAGGCCATGGAACATGAGTGTTGGCAAAAGGCAATGCAAGCAGAACTTCAGGCCCTTTAGGAGAATTACACTTGGGACATTGTGCCTTGTCCTCCTACTGTGAAACCTATTGGAAGCAAATGGGTTTTCTCTGTGAAACTTCGTTTTGACGGCTCTTTGGATTGGTACAAAGCTCATTTTGTGGCTCTGGGTAACAGACAGGAATATGGGGTTGACTATGAGGAGATATTTGCTCCTGTCGCCAAAATAACCACAGTCAGGACGATCCTAGCTATTGCTACCTCGCAATCATGGAACCTACATCAGTTGGATGTGAAGAATGCCTTTCTTCACGGCGATCTTCACGAAGAGATTTATATGAAGCTCCCTTCTGGTATGACTACTTCATCTCCTCATGATGTTTGTAGACTACGACGTTCTTTGTATGGACTTAAGTAGGCTCCCCGAGCTTGGTTTGAGAAGTTTCGTAGCATACTTATTACCTTTAGTTTTGCACAAAGTCAGTATGATTCTTCTCTCTTCTTCCACCAGTCTACCTCTGGTATTGTACTTCTCTTGGTTTATGTGGATGATATCATTATTACTGGCACTGACTATGGTTTTATTTCAAAGCTTCAAAAGTTATTACATGCAACTTTTCACATGAAAGATCTCGACCAACTCACATACTTCTTAGGACTCGAAGTTCATCATCAACCCAATGGTATTTTCTTAAACCAGCATAAGTATAATCAGGATCTTATTGCGTTAGCTGGGTTGGAAAAGTCTTCTGTGGATACTCCTATGGAATTCAATGTAAAGTATCAGAAAGATGAAGGGGATCTTCTAGACGATCCTACACTATATCGTCGCCTTGTTGGGAGTCTCATCTATTTGACTACCACTCGCCCAGATATCTCTTATGCCGTTCATCAGGTCAGCCAGTTTATGTTTTCACCTCAGCATCTTCATCTTGCGGCTGTTCGCTAAATTGTTTGCTATCTTCGTGGATCATCTACTCGTGGGTTGTTCTTTCTTATAGGGTCTTCTCTTCAGCTCTTGGCCTGCAATGTTGCTGATTGGGCTAGGTGTCCGAATACACGTCGTTCTACTACGGATTGGTGTATGTTTTTAGGTGATGCATTGGTCTCTTGGAAGTGTAAGAAACAATATCGTGTTTCTAAATCATCTACTGAGGCTGAATATCATGCTATGTCTACAGTTTGTTCTGAAATTATTTAGTTACGTGGTATTTTGGAAGAACTTGGATTTTCTCAAGATAATGGTCCTACCCCTCTTCATGCGGATAATACAAGCGCTATTCAAATTGCGAATAATCCC